TGATTTAAATCACTAGTAAAAAGGCTTGAATCAAATCGACTTGATTTAAATCCTAATTTTTAAAGAGCAACTGTCGTCTCTGTCCCACAGCGGCTTCTCCTCTGACCTGCTGTTGATGTTTCACAAAAGAGCATTTCTAGTCTTTCAAAAGTTTGTCCTCTTCAAATCTGCCAGCATGGGAACAAACACAGAACAAGAAACAAATTGCTTATTCCACCAATTTTATCAAAAAATCCCTACACAGCAGAGAATGAAAAATGTTTGCTCATACAGTGCTCCCATCTATAACCTTACTTCATATACAATAAGTCTGTACATAAAAATCCAGATGGTCCTTATGGGAAGGAGCTGCACACCTGGCCGGCTACCTTTCCTTCTCAAAGATCTGGAGTTGAGAAAAAATGGACAGGCAGGAATGCCTGTCGACAGTCCAATTCACTTTAATGGGACGGCTGGTGATGTGGCAGTGACACAACAAGGTGAGGGACATGGCAGGCAGCAGGTGAGTGGCTGCCCGCTGCTATGATGGATCTCAAATGACAGGTGCTCTTTAATATTATATTTATAAGCTGCTTAGAAGGTTTCGCTTTCATTTTTATTGCTTGCCCTTCCTCCTCACACTTAGAGCCTGGTGGTACAGATGCATTTCTCTTCAAAGAATCATGCAGTTTGTAGTGTACCTAGATTTGCAAAACAATGGGATAAAGGAATATTCCTGAACTTTGTTTTATGATTTATCACATAGTTTGTGTGAGTGCATCAATGCAGTGCATGTTATCTCAGCTTGCAGAGCTTGGATTCCTTGAATGAGTTTACGAAATATGTAAATATTGTTGAATACACAGCCTGGTTCCTTTCCCCACAGGCATTAGAAGTGGGGAGGTTTTGGTTGCCACGTGAAGTAAAAGACAGTTTGTGGAGGTAAATGTCATCATTTGGCTTCATTTTACCTCACTCTCTTTTGAATCTCTCAATCTTATTTAGATGCTGAGTTGAAGAAATTAATAATAGGGCATGGTTACCTTCCCTCTGGCAGGCAGTTAAATTGTGGGTCCACAGGCTGCTTTGTTATCTCCCAAACTGCTTAACATCTAATGGGCAGTGTTGAATGATTTCATCCAGAGATTTGACTTGTTGTTGTTGTTAACATATTGATGTCATTCAACACCACCTTAGTTTTTTTTTTTAAATGAATCCCTGTAAAGTAATGCATATTCTGAATCAGTGTCTGGGTGGGGCAATCAACTAGATCAGGGATCAGCAAACTGCAGCTCTGGAGCCGCATGTGGCTCTTTCCTCCCTCTGCTGCAGCTCCGTCACCGGTCGGCCTCACAATTTTGAGAGGAGCTTCCAGTGGGGGTGGGGTGGGGGGAGAGAAGCACAGTGCACCAGGAGAAGACTCTATGGCAAGGGGAGGGTTTTCCANGGTTGCCACAAAGAAGAGGGAATGAAGCTATTCTCCAAAGCACCTGAAGACAAGATAAGAAGCAATGGGTGGAAACTAATCAAGGAGAGAAGCAAACTAGAACTAAGGAGAAATTTTCAGACGGAACAATTAACCAGTGGAACAACTTGCCTCCAGAAGTTGTGGGAAGCTTTTAAGAAGAGATTGGACAACCATTTGTTTGGAACGATATACGATTTCCTACCTGAGGGGGGGATTGGATTAGAACACCTCCAAGGTCCTTTCCAAGTCTGTTATTCTGTTACCTGTATTTTAGTCTCTTTTTCCAGCATACAGTCACGAGTGCTTAACATTCTGTTTATGAAACTTTCAATCCTATTGATATTTTTTCCAGCACTGGAACTATCCTTTGATTTCTATGGATCTTAGGGGGAAAAAAACATATCTTTTAACCTGTATAGATTTTTGGATGGCTTCACTTAGTGCAGGGGTGTCTAACCTTGGCAACTTTCAGATTTGTGAACTTCAACTCCCAGAATTCCCCAGGCAGGCAGGCAGGCAAATAGGATGGATGGATGAATGGATGGATGGATGGATGGATGGATGGAAAATTATGGGAGTTGAAATCCACAAGACTCCCTTGACTTAGTATATCTTTTTCTTCCTAGAGAATACTCATGACAACATCTTTAGTTAATTGATTCAAGAAGTGGCATAAAATGTATGTTCTATTGCTGTTATCTTGATCTGAAAATTTTAGAATAATATTTCTGGAAATCTGTACTTTGATTATTTGTCTTAGAATATATTAGTGTTACATAGAAAATGCGGGTCTTCGGTGAGCTGTTTAGGAAATTCCCCATTAGAACTGTTGTTTCCAACAAAACGTTTGCACTTCTGCAATTCTTGGATTTTCCCACAGAGCCGCTACTTGCATTTCCTCCTTGTATGTGAGCTGGTGCTTTCTTAGCTGCAAAGAAGCAATATAGCATGTACCATTTGTACCAAAGCAGAAGAAAGATTGAGTTGCATGGGGAATTGGAGAAAGGGAATATCATTCTGGAATTGTGAGACATCCAATGAGTGACCAGATCAAAAGTAGTTTGGGGTCATAACATGAATTCAGTTGGGTAACTTATTACCACAAAATATCTGATGACATAATACAATACAATACAATAGCAGAGTTGGAAGGGACCTTGGAGGTCTTCTAGTCCAACCCCCTGCCTAGGCAGGAAACCCTATACCATTTCAAA